ACAGAAAACTCTAAAATATTTCAAAATAATGCCCCAGATATGATTGATTTTTCTGCAGGCAGTTAAGGTGTCAGGGAGTAGTGAGTTCAAAAGTCATAGACAACTAAAGGGAGGGAGGAAATACAGGAGGAATGTCAGTTAATTGAGCACTTTCTATATTCCAAGCTCTGGATTAGGTTCTTTCCACATGTTAGTTTAAATAATCAGTTTCATACTTTAAGTATCTACCCAGAGAAATGAGAAGGAAATCTGTATGGAATATTCTAAAAAATTACTTTGTGATGGTTATTGAAATTCCATTAGGAATTTCATCCATATATCAAATTTGATCTTAGATAAGAGTAATAGTGCTAGAAGAAACTTTACAAACAAGGTCCAGAGAGGTTAGGTGGCTTTTTCAAAATCAGTTTGTTGAACTCATAACCTACGGTAGCACTCATATTCCAGGTTTAGCAGGCTGTTACTTAGGTTCTGTTAATCATTTTATAAAATGCATATGAATATGGATACATTCAATATGAATTACTAAAGGGGAGAACACTTTGGATAGTAGTGAAGCATACCCATTTGCAAAATGCTACAAAATCTCTAAATGAGACATCCAGGAAAAAAAAAAATCACTTTAATTGACTGATTGCAATACAATGGAATGAAGTTAGGAGAGAGACTATATTTCTCTCCATGTGGTTTGGTAATAGATATCTGCCCTTCACAGTGCTTGCACTTTATACTCTCCTTAAATACCAATTTTCTTTCCTGTTAGAAACAGTTGATATGTTACTAATATTTGCATAGAATGTTAACGTGATCCAAATCCTTTCTAATCTTTCTTGCGATGTTACTTCTTTTGATGATTTACAATGTGGTAAGATAGAAAGGAGTTAAAATGCCTTACTTTCGCATCCAGGCGACAAACTGACTAATCAAATAAATATAAAATATCATCTCCAGTTGGTGCCAAAAAACACCATCAGTACTCTTAAAAAATGTTTTACGACAACTAATGACTTTCATTTATTTATTCAACAAATATTTGATATGACCCTCCTGTACATTAGGCACTGTGCTTATCCTTTAGGTTCTGATGTTTGTTATATTTAACAGCTTGATTGTAATGGTTAAGAAGTTTTCTAAAATGAGATCAGAGTTCAAGGGAGCTCAAAGATATGATCAAACACAGTCATAAGGTAAGGACCTGAAAGTTGTGGTAACTTTAATTCATGCAAAAAAAAATTCTAGGTGATTACCTTAAGACTCATGGAATCTAGTTTAAAAATAGACTGACAAAAATATCAGAGGCATAGTTTCCTATTCTTTTCATATTTAACCTCCAATTGGAGGCAAGAATTGAAAGGCTCAGCAAATAATTCCTAAATATTCTGTTGCTTTACACATCAAATGCTCTGAGCTTTCTAAGCCCCTCACAATTAAAAAAAAAAAAATTCTGCACAATCTGAGATTATCAGGAGTGTTACAGTAAATATAACTATTTTAAGCATGTATATGTTTCCCACTAAGATGATTTTTTTTTTCATTTTCTGCTTCATATTGTCAGATATACAGCTGTCATAATATATATGGCTGTCAGGCTCTCATGTCTTTCTTGTTCAGGGTGTGGTACTCTGGATGTGGACAATTCAGTATATATTCTTATTAGTAAGGTCTATAATGACTAATATTTATTCATTCTTACTGATGACTACAATAATTAATATTTAAATATTTAGAGTATTGAAGGTAATAGCTTTTCAATATTTTGAAATAAAACATTTTAAACGGTCTGTTCCCTTTTTGTGTCCACAATTTAATTCCAGGCATAATTATTTGTTTGTATAATCAACAGCAAACCAATTTTGTTGAATCAGTATATCTTTTCCATAAGTTTCTTACAAAGCATTGCAATCCACAGGATTTATTAAAGGAGTGGCTGTGAACCATACACTTTCTTGAGGGCTGTATTTCACTTAAATGTAGTGATAGCCCATTTCCTTCTGCTGAACTCAACTCCTAAAATATTTAAACCAGAACGAATGCTAACAAGTTTGATGTTTTATTTATCGTATACCTTCAAAAGTCGAAGTTCTTCTACACGAGGTATACCATTCTATAGGTCCTAAAAATACCAATAAGACATTCACATTTGTAAAAATTGAGACATAATTCTATGATAAGGTAGGAATGCGATTGAAAAAAAAAGTGGGATTTAGAGAAATAGGATCCTTAAATCCTAATCTTAACTATTGTCACTAGCTGTGATGTGTGTGTGCATGTGTGTGTATGTGTGTGTGAATGTGTGTCTTGAATAGATACTTCTGGATCTAGTTAATTCATAAGTAGAAAGAAAAGCAATTATAATTTTTATATTATAGCAATTATAAACAACAAAATTATAATTCCTTCTAGCCCTAAAACTCACAGATCAATGGACCAGAGCTAAATGGTTCCACTGAGTCGTTTAATTATTTCACTTCAAATTTAGGAAACAGTCTTCTGGGACTTAGTAATGGGGTTTCAATGCACCTGTTAGACACTTAGTACTGCCTTGACTTGGGTCGTATTATCAGTGTGTGATTATAGTCATAGTCCAACAAAGAGCCTAAATTTGTAGTCAACAATAGAGACAATGCCTTTAGGTCTTTCAGTCCTTTCAAATCATGAACATTCACTAGAGCCAAGGTGGGTTGAAACAATATCGAATGCTTTTCTACCTTCAAAAAAGCAGGTGGCCCAGACACAGTGACTCATACCTATAATCCCAGCACTTTGGGAGGCTGAGGGAGGTGGATCACTTGAGGTCAGGAGTTCAAGACCAGCCTGGCCAACATGGAGAACCCCATCTCTACTAAAAATACAAAAAGTAGCCAGGCATGGTGATACATGCCTGTAATCTCAGCTACTCGGGAGGCTGATACAGGAGAATCGCTTGAACCTGGGAGGCTGAGGTTGCAGTGAGCCGAGATCATGCCACTGCACTCCAGCTTGGGTGACAGAGCGAGACTCCATCACAAAAAAACAAAACAAACAACAAAAAAAAGCAGGTGCTTTCTAAACTTGTTAGCAGTGTATCCTCTTTAGATCTCTATGCTTTTTACAGGTCAAAAATTTGACAAATAAATGTAAATGTATGAATTTGACTGTCTTACCAATTAATTAAATATGGATGGAGATCTTTACTTATTGAGGAGGACATCCACATAAAAATATTATTTCTTAATGCATTGTGGTTAGAAGAGGTAATACAGAGAGAATAATATATTGGGTCAAAAGAGTTAACAAAGTTTGCAACTCAGAAACATGTCAAACAGCTAAGCAATTGGGGAAATTTGCTACTGTTTTGCCCCATTAAATCAGCATTGACTCATACAAACTTCATTGAGAGTAGCACATGCATGTAAACAGTCTCAGACTGAATTGAAAGGAAGTTTTTATATGTCTGTCCACTTAATTGTAAGCTCATTTTAGGCAGTGATAGTACCTTGTTCATCTTATTTCTGTGGGTGTTAAGGCAGTGTCTGACACTGCGTTCAATTTTGGCTTAAGAAATATACCTGAGAATCAAACAATCCTCTATTCATTACAGGAATATTCCTCTGCTCAAATCTTTCTGGTGCTAGGGTAAGCTTATTCTCTCACAAGATAGTCTGGGTAGCTGGATCTACGCCCTTTTTACTGAATTCTTTTTGAATTTTGCTGATGTCAACTTGTAATAGGACTACTGGAATAAGTCACAAATAGACCCAAATGGATGTCCTCAGAACATTCTAATTTTTGGATGGATTTTTGGCCTGAATGGAATAAAGGCACTAAAGATTATTTTGAGGAATGCTTTCCTTGAAGAATCTTTAGTGGCCCATCTTTTTTCACCTACTGTCTCTGCTTATATCCAGCTCTCCTCTTCTCTAGCCTTATGGAGGAGAATGCTATAGGCAGCTGCACGTTCAGGAATATACTCTTCAAAATTTTCATGTAATGGTAGGTTTATTTTGGTTCTGTAAAGCCCTGAACATCATGGTCGTATGTGCTATGTATGAATAATTACCAAAATGGGATATAAAAGTCATCTCCAATTAGTACTTCTAAAGTAGAACTGTCACTTCCTTGAAACAAACAAACATTTTTCTGTGAATTCAATTGCATTTATTTATTCATCCAACAAATGTGCATTGAGATCTTACTCTGTGCTAACACTGTGCGTTTTCTATATATCCCCACTTTATTATATTTAACATCTTATATTTAATTCCTTGGTGATAATTTTATTTAGGCTCTCTGAAATGATAGAACTCAAATCAAATGATAGGGCTCATCATTATGAGCCAAATCTTATATCCATATGGTAAAATAAGACCATTTTAAATAATAGGGCTTCAGAAAAAAAATCTTAAATTGGTAAGTAATTAAACATTTTTCATAAATGACACCATTTATAAATATATTTATAGGTATCATTTTTCTTTGTTATTTGAGGAAATCATTTGTTTTATTATGACAATGACTGTTATCAGTAGCAGAAAGAGAACTGTCTTTGATTTTCTAAAATATTATTGGTATTACTTCCCAGGTGCTGAAAATCACAACAAATTGGATATTTAAAAATACTTGAATAATTTAAGATCATGCGAATAAGTAGTGGCAAATCACCTTAATGAAAATAAATGAGAAGTCTAATAGCTTTCTGAATAGAACAGTTCTGCTTCGTATATTTCTAATTCACTCCATGAACAATTTCACCTTCACAAATGTGGTAAACAGGTAAAAAATAGATCAAATAGAGACAGTTAAACACTTCGTTCAACTTCAGAGTCAAAGAGGTTAGAATTCAATAGCAACATGTTCTTCCTTTGTTATAGTATGCAAAGTTGGAACTAGACATTATAATACTCAGTGAAAATTTTTCATTCTTTAAGATGCGCATCTTCATTTCCCAAATAGATTAAACAGCTGATCAGGGTAGAAACAATAATCAAACCACAAGCTTACATTATAGACAACTACAAAAATGTGAAAAAACAATGTTTACAAATGATAATGAAGAATAAATTACTCTCCAGTGCACATAATTAGGTATATACAGGATAATTTAAAACCAAATGGAATGATTGCTCATGCTGAGCTTTTAAAAATCTCCACCAAAATATACATGTTACCCTAGAGAGGGTGATAAAAATAAATTGTGACACAATAGTAGTATGTTGCATCTCTTCTTATCCTCAATACTTGGATGATATTTCATCAAAATATTTATCAAGTGTGCAAGTGATGAAAAATTTTAATTCCAAAACCATTTCTCTAAATTACCAACAGATTTATATTCTTGATGCCTTTTCACATGATCACAAGCCAAGCAGGCATGTGATTCCCAAAATCGTGGAAGATTTACAGTGAAATCCTTCCTCCAGTTAAAGTAACTAAGGTATAACTTATTGTTTTTGTCGACTTCCTTCAGATACTTTGCTAGCTCACTGGGAGAGTTATAATCTTCCACATGAATGAATGAATCTGCTGGAATGTAATTCTCATAGTTTTCTCTAGATGGTCCCAGAACAACAGGTACAGAGCCAGCCAGAAAAGCATTGTAGAGCTTTTCCGTGATGTAATCCTTGTGGATTGAATTTTCAAAGGAAAGATAAAATTTACAAGTAGATATGGTAGGAATCAAATTTTTATCATTGACATATTCTCCAAATGCTTGCCCATAGGTATGGATTTCAATGCTTTTGCTTAGCTCATTGTAATACTTGACCCTGGCATGCTCAGGGTTCCAGTTACTCACAACCCAGCACACCAACTTCTCTTTGCTTGGCACTTCAAACACAAAGGGATTTGTGCTCACCGTCAAGAAGCCATAAGGCACTTGGATATCTGAGTCGCGGCGATAAGTCAGAGTCAGGTTAAACAAGTGCTCAATGCCACTCTTTTGAGGAGTGTGAGTTGGTGACTCCAAATTCATCCAAATCCATTTCTGGAAGGGTGGCCTAGCTTGCTGAGGTAAATTTGTCAGATCCCAACTGATGTCTCGGTGATGGATCAGAACTGCATGGGATTTGTTGTACAGTGAACGGTCCGTTGTGAGATGGCATCCTTGGATGTTGAACATTGCTTGGCAGGATGTAAGGTCAAAGGTCTGCCCAAATGGCCACACCCACACCAGAATAGTAGTTTCATTAAAATAATCAGTTTTGGTGGAGAAGAAGTTTTTCATTTTCAGCACAGAGCTGGCTGATTCCATTGGACTGAAGATCCAGCTGTTGGTAGGTTTGATGTAAATGAGAAGACATGCCATGAAACAGCCCAGGATAATGCAGACAATTAAAAATGGGCGAAGAATTCCTTTGGATGTTGATGTCATAATTTTTTCTATGAAACAGAGAAAGACAGAAGGGGAGGTGGGGTGGGAATGAAGAGATAATCATAAATATATTTGAGATATATTTAAAATCACAAATATGAGATAAACAGGTAGTAATCAACTGCATTTTCCTTTTCAGTGTTATCAAACCATTAAGAGAAACAGAACTTTCCTCAAAGCCAAGAAACTGCTTTCAAAAGGAAGTTTCCCAAAAACTCTTCTAAAAGTACCAGCATATCTTCAAACCAAGAAACTTTTTTTTTCAACGCTATGCTTAACTGTTCTATTTTTATTTGCTTGTAGAAAACTGGCACAACCTAAACTGTTATCTCTAAAGCCATGACTAGAAGTTTTAGTATTTTGTAACCACATCAGATTTGTAAACATTTCCCAGTTGATATAATCACTTATTTACTCTCATATTGAGACTGTACTATAACTTTGTGGTTCAGATGGAATTCAATAGAAAACTAAACTGTTTTTTAAAAAGTTACATTTTTGTTTTTCTCGTTATAAATTTATCTTCACAGTTTGCAAATGCATTACTATAATCATCCGGTAAAAAAAAAATGGCAACTCTTGATTTGATACATTTTTAAAAAACAAATACACTCAGGCAAATTTTATAAATTTAAAACTCACAGTGTTTTGTTTTTATTTATATATTTTTCTTACAGTTTTCTTTGTTTACTTTTAATAATTTGTTAGTACATCCAATATCTACCAAGATGTAATAATCAAATGTTCTATTTGTATTGGAACAACTTTCTCACTTATATAGCTTAAGGGCTTTAAAACAGTTTTCCTTTGTATTAAGATGATACTGGTATTATAAAAATAAATGTAAACAAATTCTCAAAAAAGGGCTGTATTTCATGAAGAACAACTTTGATCTCAAGGATTTTAACAGATTGTGGCTAAAAAGATGAGTGAAGCCTTTTTTTTTTTTAAAAGAAAAAAAGTGTCTCTGAGTTTTTTTCTCTTCGGCATTCATGCCTCTTTATGGGTATGAACACAAAAATATATTTGCAAAAACTGTTTCTTGATAAAATCCTCACAGATCTTTGAAATTCGTGTTGTTTCTCTTATGAAAATAATATGGCCTATAAATTTCAGACTCATTAAAGTATTTTGAAATTTTGATAGAAGCTAGGATAGGAACATTAGATGTTTCCTTCAAAAAAGGGGAGAAATTGCCCTTCATTTAATTACCTAAATTTATGTGAACATTAAAAAAAAAGCACATTCTTTTGCTGTGTAGTTTTTTTTAAAGCATGTGAGACTCTCTGAGTATCTAAGCTTGACTGTGAGTCCAAAGATTTTGGACATTGCATTCTAGATCACTCCCAGAACTACATTAGAATCAAATATTGCAGCTTCCTGTCAAAGTTGGCTTTAGTTCTACAGTCAATAAGAAAATGAAAACAAAAGGTATATATTAAATATGTCTAGGAGCTAAATTATTAATCAACCCTTGGAATACAGAGAAAATCAGGAAAGAATTATGAAGGAAATTTCAGTTATTCAGAATTAAATGACACTGAAGGTTCTACATGCCAAATTTTGTTGTATATTTAAACAGAAGGAAATTATAGGTTTGCATACTTTCCAGAGAAATAATAAATTGGTCAACTCAAGACGCCAGACAAAGAAAAATGGTAAAATGCTAAAAAAATAAGAAGGAAAAATGTTAAGGTAAGGACCAGAAATTTGAAATGAGTAATAACATCACAAGTTTTGAAAATACTCAAACTGTAGGCAAGAATAATGAAGAAAAAAGAAATTCAAATTTAATATCAAAAATAGCAAATATTTGTTGATTTAGCATGGATAAAAATGGCAGTAACTATTTTGAGTAATTTTCTGTTGAAAAATTTGAAATATTACTAAATAGTTGTATTTTTGTACAAATATTTGTAAAAGAATTGTACAAAAATTCTGATTCAAAAGATAACAGTTAAAGAAATGGAATTTATAAACAATAACAACTAAAAGCAAATACTAGGTCTAAATAATTTTCCAATAATATCAACAATTTAATAAATTGGGAATACCATCCACCTTTTAAAAAAAATCATTTTAGAAAATATAAAAATAAAGAACTCATGAGGTCAATTATAATCTTGTTACCCAAGCAAGATATGACTTTTTAAAAAAAAAGTCATTTGTGTTTGTGAACACAGATGCAAAAATACAAAAATTTAGCAATAATAAGTATTGGAAATAGATCATGATGTGATTCAGGAGTAAGTTTATGGAAGTTTAGTTGCATTTGATCCTAAGTATAAATTTAACTAATTAGACCATCTCTCAATTCCACCTAGACTCCACAATTTACGGACTGAAAAACCTTACCGGAAGGGTCTCTTTTCATTGGAAAAACATTAACTTCTAATATGCATGATTTGACTGACTTTTGCATTGTTTTCTTCCTGTGAGACCAATGTTTAATGGTTTTTAGAAATGAAATGCTCTGATTGACAGTTTCCTTAAATCCTTCTTGAACTGAAATGCAGTGGCAAAAATTATTAAATAAATGACGTCAGTTCAATATAATCAGGTTACAACTGAAATAGCCACCATTTAATAAATGCTCACCCTTAGCCACGCCTTGTGCCAAGCATTTTACACACATCATTTCCTTTGATCTTTCCAGAACCCCTAAAAAGGACATCTTTTCTCATTCCTTCACAGATGAGGAAACTGAAGGCCAGAGATACAGGTAACTAGCTTAACCACTGGATTGTGCTCTCTCTTTTCTTCTATAATCTACTTTGAACAAATAATACAAACATGAATAATCCATTTGCTTTTCGTGTCTCAAGTTTTGTTGTCTTGATTTCCCTGGTCTCTACCTTTTATTCTGTAATTAAGAACCATTTACCCATGAGTTAAATTAAGATTAATTTCTCTTAACAAGAAGGATATCTGACACATATATATGGCACTTATCAGTGTCAAACACTGATTTGAGCACTTATATTAACTTACACACACATACACACGTATTAACTCATTATATCCCCATTTTATTGATAAAGAAACTGAGGCCCAAAATGATTAAGTAACTTGTCCAAAACCACACAGAGAGTTAATGGAACAGAATACTTTTCAAGCCCAGGCCAACTGGCTTTAGAATCTGGGCACTTGATAATTAACATTTTAGATCACTGTTTCCCCAGGTTGCAGCCAGAATATGCAATCATTTTAGTGATATCAGAATGTAAGCTTTGTGAGGAGCTATGTTTTCTTCACTGCTGTATTGTTATCACCAGAATGTAGCAGATGCTTAATAAATGCTGTATATCTCATAGGAATGAATGGGTGAATTGCTGCATCTCAACTATGTACAGATATTATGCTTGATAGGTAACCAGATACACAAAAATGAACCAAATATGAATGAATGAATATGTACTTTGTTTTTTCCTCTGTGCATTTACCATGGAGCTCTCTATGGAATGACTCCCATTAAAATTGGCATGTGGCTATTCCTACCACTAGATGAGCAAAATCCCAGTCCTCTCTTTGTTTTGTCTCAAAGTTAGTATCTACCCAGAACATTTTAGTTTCATGTCTCAATTTCTCTCTCTCTCTCTCTCTCTCTCTCTCTCTCTCTCTCTTTTATTAGTCAAATGAGGAATTGGTCACTAGACAGGAACAATGTTCCTTCTACGGTGTGATTTCCAGTTTTCATGCTTCCTGGATATTTTATATAACTTGAGGTTTTCCTTGTTAACTCTCTGCTCACCCTCTCCCCTCAATTTTTCACTGCTGTCAGGGTCAATTACTAAATAACAGGGGCAGTTATTCAGTAACCCCTACTTTGTACAGAGCTGTCAAAAAAAGTTTGCCCCTTGGGGCCAAATTGACATCTCCTTGACAGAATCCTTTTCACCTATTCCTCATAACTAAAATTCAGTTGGATACTCACTGTGTCTTATACTGGTAATCAATACAATCTATTTTAAAAACACCTGCAGCAGTGTTTCTATAACTCACTAGAGATAGCAATAAATGTATAGCACAAAGCAAATTGTAACAGTAAATAGGATAATTAAACCTTTTCAATTATTTTTAGTAGTTTCAAGTACTATGAAAGAATGTAACTTAAAGACTTTACCATCAAAAATAATAGAATCTGTGCTAAAAGTACTGCTTAACAAGACGTGGTATGTATGATTCAATTTTCTGTTAAGAGATTACCTATAGTCATTCTTTAAGAACTCTCTACTGAATGTTAAAGAATGGAAGATAACTTGAAATAGAAAAAGATTAGAGTTGTAATTCTCAAACCACAGATACATATCAAGGTATTTGGAAGAAAAAATGTGAAACTAAGGAGAACAGGAGGCTCCCTCAAGGAGAGGCAGTCCTACTGTATGTTTTGATTTTGCGGGGAGGTAGGCATTGAATCCTTATTTTAAATGGAAAGAAACAAGAGCATACTATAGAACAAAGTTCAATGCTTGCTTCAAATGTGGAGATGGAACAGGATAGCTGAGCTTGTAACTTGTCACTTGGGGCATTATACCCAGATTGCAGTCACTACCTACCTCTTCAACCCACCTCCCCTATCTCTCATTAGCAGGATGGTGGAGTTGGAAGAGATTTTCCCTTATGCCATTAGGAGTTGTTGGGTCAGCACATTTGACAGTCACTGTATAGTACATTTACTATTTTGTGTGTGTGTGTGTATGTGTGTACTATCAAACCATTCCTAATAAGACTTTTTGATAGCTGGTAAAAATATGTGAAATACGTAGACTATTTGAACAGAACTTTAGAACAACCTGAGGATCTTCAAGATAAATTCATACCGACTCCAAAGACAACAAATGAATCACTGACAAATTGAAGGGTGAATTAAAGTTAGCAAAGGCCTCAGAAGCAACCTCAGAAACAAAGTTTCTGTCTGACTTTCTTCTGCCCTCCTGTCTTTCACCACTCATTATCTCCTAAAGCAAGCAGTACAAACTAGAATCCCTCTTTCCCAAGGCATTCATAG